ATTCAAATAAATAAAGTACATTTGAGACATATGAATGCATTGCTGAAACATTATGTTAGTTCAAGGTCGTCACCTTCATCATCACTATATTGCTCAACATCTGTACAACCGACCAATCCAGGCCAAGATATGACGTCATCTGTACAATTGACCTGTCTAGGCCGAGGTATGACGCCACAATAACAAAAATGGACGATTTAGAGTCAAAATGTTCCAAAATCAAGAAGTGTTGATCTAAGATGGAACCTTTTGGCTCTTTATGCCAAGACCATTCCACGCCACATTTGTGGCCAACTATAGATTTGTTAAGTCAAAGAAATAAAACATAAGGAATGTCCAAAGGTAAAAAGGAAGATGCAAAATGTGACAGCATGTAAAATACTCGTATCTGAAATCCCAGCTAAACGCCTTCTTTTCAGAAAATTAGATTACTGAATTTGTCGGTCTCGTTTTCAACATTATCATTTTTCTGATAATTTCCTGATTAGAGGTAATTCTACAAAACGAACAAACATGAAACAGAAAAAAACGACACAAGTAATCGAAGGGGCCAGAACAATAAAGGGTCTAAGTCACATTTTGATATTTTAAAAAAGTCTTTGCTTGATAATAATACGCATTAGGGAAGAATACACAACAAAACATTTGAATGAAATGACTGGATGGCTTTAAGTCAGAGTCACGGCCTTTTTAGATTAGATTACCCAAACCCTAAACTCAGTTGTAAATCTGATCGTAGGTCCAGTTGTTCTGCATTTTTGTTCTTCTTGTTGTTTTGTTTATATTTTGTTTTTGTTTTTTCATTTTCATTTTTCTCGAAACGACCTCAAGTCACCATAGAACCTTCATTTTTCTGACCCCTTCAATAATTAAATGTTAAGGAAAGGGTCGACCCAGGAGGAAAGGAAACTCACAACGAGACATGCATGCATGCAAATATTTTCTTAATTTGTTATTATCTGATTCTTTCTAAATAGATCTATAAGTTTGTTAGAGCGAATTTGATGCCATTGGCTCATGTTATCTTTAAGTCATATGTCCTTACTGAGTTGTTAATATGACTATTAAGTATTGAGGCTAGGGGGAGAACAGACCGTCGTATCTCGTTACTTCACAATTTAAAAATGAGAGATACGCAATACTAGGCTCAAAGCCCGCCTTGTGTCATCAAGCTGAGTGAAAGACTGCATTTCATGAGATAATCTTAAGTGATCATAATATATTTTTAACTGTCAGCATTCTTTCCAAGCTAAGGATTGTAAAGGCAACATAAACAATTCAAAACGTGTGCAACACAGCAGCTTTTTACTTTGGCGGAAAACGCCCGAAGGAGTTCGTCATTTTTTCAAACACCAATCGTGCAACTATAACACTGACCACTGCTTATCAACCTTTTCTGAAGCCATAATCACTTTCGCCCCCTTTAAGAGGCTTCCTTGTTCGTACTGCCCCCTTACACATTGGCCTATTTCCCAGCGGGGCATTAAATAATGCCTGTCACTGCCCGGGTGATCCCCACCTCCCACCAAACTTACAAAAATCACCCACTAGCGGGCAAAGCAGCACAGGTTGGCAAGCACTGGCGTAAATCAAAAGTAATTAGCGACAAACGTGCGTGTACTAAGTAGCTCTAAAATATCGGTGAGCGTGTCTGGGACTATCACAAGGGACAGAACTAGTGGAGAGATTCCTCATGCTTCTGGGTGAGGTACTAAATAGAGGAGGAACCCTACTCCCC